TTTTTCCATTTGAGGCTTGGAAATAGGAGATATGGCCTTTGCTTAAAATGACCTATAACTGCCAAATGACCAAAATACCCCTGTCTTGTTCAAACCATAAGTTGAGTTCTACAAATCCTATCAAGGACTTCTACCACTAAAATTAAAGCTAAGAAGATGCCCTTCAACATTCATGTTGACCAAGAAATCATAGGAATCATCCTACTAGGGCAAAAGTTGTCTGCAAGTTGGGTGACTTTCAAGGACCCAGATTCACACACCTCTGCTGACCTGTAATTTGTCAAAACCATAACTTGAGCTCTGCAACTCCTATCAAGGACTTCCACCACTCAAATTAAAGCTAAGAACAAGCTCTACAACATTCATGTTGTGGGGAAGATGAGATATCAATCACATCTAGAGCTAAAACTGCCTGGAAGATAAGGATCAAACTAGGGTTTTTTCACTGACAATCCTCAGAAACCCTAACTCAAAACTTCTCAAACCCCTCAATCATGATGAGTTGGTCTAGGAATCATCTTTATAACATCTCCATGCATCATTCCATGATCTCATGGCCCTTGGATTAGGTCTCAACCTTCTCCAAATCTTCAGCTGATCTAGGGTTGACCCAGTCAAAACCCTAATTCTACCATTCATGGTTGAATCTTCTGAATTCTTGCACAATGATCTCTCTGGGCTTCATGATGGCTATCAAGACATCTCATACACTTTCTCAAAACATCAAGTTCATTCTCAAAGTCTCAGAATCATCTGAGGAGCACCCACAACTCTCAAGCTATGAGGCACACAACCCTGGTTTCAACCAATTCCTCTGAGGATCTCTTGAACTTTCTGGTGAAGGTATCAACTTTCAAACACTAGATGGATAAATAATTGTTGGTCAAATTTTGGGGTGCAACAACGGGTGATAACTCTACTAAGGACATAGCATCCAGTTTTCCTCAAAATTACTCAAAAGGTTACCTTATAATGTCAAGAGTGCTCTAATATCAATTCAATTGTATCCTATATTCTTATCTCCAACTCTAAACAACTCAAAAGAAACTCTTAAAACTCTATAATAACTCTAACCAAATAAAATAGGACCCTTAAACTCATCAAAAAGATAACGAAAGGTCACCACGCCCAAAATTGCTAAAAACTATGGACCTAACTCTAAAATTGTCTCACCTCAAAATAACACCAAATATTATAAACTTATGATAAAAATTAAGAAACTCTTCAGTTTGAAATTTATTTAAACCCTCATTCAAACTCACTTAACCGAACCTCAAATGGATTTACAAAACTGCAGTTCAGTTCGTTTCAGTTCATCCCTTTCACGATAATTCTTGCATTCACTCTAAAACAGAATGTCTGACTTCAAAATAGCACGAAGAATTGTATACTCATGATAAAATATGAAAATTTCTCGTTTGAAAGATCAGTAAGCCCTTTTTCTAACGCAACTGACGGCATCCTAAAAGGACTTACGAAACTCAAGTTACGCATGAAACATGATGACCAACGCAAGACTGAAATTGACTACGCCTCTAGTATAAAAACCAGCAAACTGCTACTGTTGTAGTGCCCCTAAACCCATTTTCTCTGCTTCAAAAGGAATATTATCACGTTAGTTTTCCAAAGCAAATAATGGCATCTCAAACTGACTTACGAAATTCAAGTTATGCCTGAAATAAGGTAATCAACCCCTTTCTATGACTAACTGCGATTTTCTGCGTTTTTCACTTTATTTGACAGATACAAAACTCTACTAATTCGTTCAAATTGAGTCTCAACCGTCTCACAACATATAAGGTTAACCATGGATAATAGGAATTCAAATGTTACATGTTTATATTTTCACCTTATCAATAGACTTTATAGCTAAAACCCTATGTTATGTATGAGATAACCTTTAACAATGTACAATACAAAACTGTGAAACCAAACGAACCAAACAGAGTCGTTCGGTTTTTTGGAGCAAAACCCCAACACTACAGAGTTAATCACATAGAACAACAAAAAAACTCATACAATATCATCAACAACAACAAAAGGTTTGTAAACCTACAAACAATAGCACTTATAGAGACCGTAGGTGATTTATCCCAAATCCCTTTTTTGGGTTTCAGAGAAATCAAATAGAAAAATATTTTCATTAGTCTACAAATAAGGTTTTGCCCAAACCTTAATTGGTCAATTTACACAAATCATAAAAAGGAAAATTAGGGAAAGTCATATAAATCTCAAGGCGCTGATTGGAGGATAAGTAACTCTCACTATCCTGCTCGCATAAAATCACCCATAAGCAAATAATTTCTACCCCTTGCCTTATTTTTCCAGCAAAGATGATGATTCATCTCCTCTAGCCTAACTCTCCTTCCCTAAAATTCCCTCTGTTCTTCTGCCTTTTTTCCACGTACAAAATGTTTTCTCTAAACCTAACTCTTTCCACATTTTCAAATATATAAGGACATTATTTCTCAAATTTATATTTTTTTCCACTAACTCCCAACTTCTCTCTTCTCACCTCAAACTCTTTTCTATTCACAGCAAAAACTCAATTCTCCTATTTAATTAATTGAATTATTATTGGAATCAAATAAATATTTAACTCAATAATTATTTAATCATGAAAATATATATTATACTATTTTATTTTGTCACCAAATAATTAATCATTTTTAATTATTTTCAGTAATTCTAATAATAATATTTTAATTATCTACTCTTATAATCTACAACCCTGGTAATTAGTAATTTACCAAATTACTCCTACAGTCCAAAAACATCAAAATTTGCTATGGCGTTACAATAAACACTTTGTCCAATTTGAGTCAGTGTAGACTTCAATACCTTTGTTTGAGTTCTTTTGGAAATAGAGCATCAATCTGGTGTACGTTTCAAGTGCTGAAGTATTTTTTTTCACATTTTTCCTCTTAATTTTAGTTGGGTTTAACATATAACGACTAGTCATGCTTACCGCAAATCCAATGTCTGACCTGATGTGAGTTAGATAGATTAGTTTTCCTACTAAATTTTGATATCTATCTTTATTATCTAATACATTATTATATTTACTCTTTCTTATTGACTCTATGGGAGTATTGGCAACTTTGTATCCAAGCATACTTGTTTCTTATTCAGACTCTTTGAGAAATTGAAATACCATTTTTTATTCATGCAAACTGAAATACCAAAAAACTTTACATGATTAAAATAATGAAAAAGACTTTTTTTTTATAAATGAAGAAGAAAAATAAAGAATGTATTTATCTATCATTAAAAAAGTAATGTGAATTTTGTATGCACATATTCCACGTATTAACAAAAAGAATAAGTTTATTTTAATCAATTATATTATCAATGTTATTTTGAAAGCTTATATTATATTCATATTACCTAATTACATGCAAAACTCGAAGTCCACGACATATTAAAACTTCGACAGTAGATGGATGTAAAGAAGTTTGAAATGAGTCAATAACTCTTCCTCCGATGCTAAAGGTTGATTACGAAGTCATATTAGATATTGGAATGACAAAAACATCAGGTGTTATACAGGATACCACTATATATTTTGTACTGTTAGATTAAAAGAAAACATAGGGTTAGAGTAAATCTTTAAACCTACTCTTAAAGACAATATAATCATTTTCATATATAATCGAGTTGATTCATAAACCTTACGATTTAACTCATTTAATTAATGAACTTAATTTTTCGCTCATACTCAACTCATTTGAGTCATAAACTTAATTTGACAGTTTAATTGTCGAACCGAATTTCAAACTATTTTTGAATTGATTATGTTTATTGTCAGCCTTATAAGAAATACATGTGTTATATATAGAATACAAAAGGCAGAATTTGAAACTAAAATTTGTCCTAATATCACGGGAGTTAATCTCACTTTAATCAGCTGTACAAAACATCATCATTTGAATATTTGAATATGAATTGATTAATTGATGATGGATTGATTATTCCACATTAAGACATAGTGAGAGTACTCTATTTTTATCCTAATGGGTGTGAAACAGTAGAATAAGCTTTGCCTGAAGCATTTGAAGAAAAGGTAAAAGTTTCATGATATTGGGTTCAACAACCATTGATATTGAAACATTCCTCTGTTTGGTGTTTTGTGAATAATTGTGAATTAGGTTCTATGTGGGGGTCTTTTATGAGTGATAAACAAATAGTTTTGGTAACACTTCTTGCTGACAATGTTTTGAATACTTGGTTGTTTGTTGGGGAATTGGAAGCTACCGTTGAAGTTAAGAGGTCAAAATGAAAGAAGCTCGAACTTCAATACACTCATTTTTCTTGTGTTTTCTTCCCATAATACAGTTTATATTAAAATTCACTTGTGTTTTGTTCCCATAATACATTTTATATCAAAATTCACTCGCGGATGAATCCTTTCTATAAACCCTCCATTTTCGGGAGTGGATCCTTCCCATAATACATTTTATATCAAAATTCACTCGGGGGGATGAATCCTTTCTATAAACCTGCAATTTTCAGGAGTGGATCGCAAAACTTCCTTCATCAATACCAAACACATCAGTCCACCTTATGGGTCTGTGTTTCGCGGTCACACCACCAAACACATACCTAGCAGGGACAGAAATTGCCCACTCAAGAAAGGAGAGTGAGAGAAGTTCAAACAGGAAGATTTCTTTTGAAGGAACTCAAACAAAACTAAAAAAAATATACTGGTAAGGATAGTCAATATGTTTAAGCCTATATTTCTGATCCATAAATTGCAGGGTAAACAAAATATATGCCGCTAGGCCAAGTTTGCTTAAAAGGAATTAAAAATGGCTATGTAAACAATGATTTTGTTTTAAAAATATTACATCCATATTTTCCTTTACAATTGTACAATAACATTGTAAATGACTATTTTTAGTGTTTGACTAACTAAAATCGAATACTAAGACTTGGAAAAGTTGAACACAACAATCTACAAGTGCAAATTATGAGCACATTAGTGAAGTTAAAGTCCACTGTCAGATACGGTTTTTGAAAAGAAAGTCGACATCTCGAGGAGACCTAGGATTCCTCCTTGCAGTAATCTGTATGAGTGCACCATCAACAAGCATGTGTTGTAGTATTCTTGTTATGTTCTTTGTGTCATCAATGCCAAGATGATGACTTCCCACCAAAGGTATCTGCAGCTGCTTCATCATTGTAACCATTCCTGGGGCCTGCTATCCATTATCAAGGAAACATGTAATATATATTATGATTAACAAAACAAGGGGGTAAAATCAACACAGCCAAGCTGAAGATGTGATATAAAATACTCCATGTACAAGATAAAGCTATAGTTGTTTATAAACAGTTTTGTACATTCATGTCTTTAATAGGAACAAAGTAATTAAAGACCCCTTTATCAAATGTTTTCAAATTAGCCGGGTTATTGTTCTATGCATGATACTAAAAGAAAAAGGTACACAAGAGAATGGTGGAAACAATTCTTTTTTCAATTGGTAACCAGAACTGGTTAATCATCTCTGTAATAATATTCTATCAATCATTTTGAGACCAGCGATATTCTATCAGTTATGAAAAAACTTTTCATAGAAGTTCTTGAGTAATTTTACTCTGTGAACATGATTGATGGGTTCTCAAAGACGAGCCCACACATGTTCCCAATTACAATCATAATTTACAGTTCAAGACTGTATACCCAAATCTACGACTACGAGATTAGACCGTACTATTTATGCTCCAAAATATAAATCTTAAACTGATTTTTAAACAGAAGCATCCATACAGATATTATTAAACACTCCAATTAATCTTCAAGAAGTACATTGAACCATTTGCCCAAAGTTTCCATAATTCTAATTTTAAATGTTAAAAGAACTTACCCTCCTATTATAAAAGTTCAGATAGATATCTTTGAGATTAACCCATTCCATAAAATAACTAGGAAGCTTTATCCTTGACACTTCACACTGTTGAGGGACCTTTGTTTTCAAATCCCAATTTCCACTGCAAAAGCAAAAGAATTTTATTTAAAAGAAAAAATAAGTTATTCTAGATGTATAAGGCAGGAAATTAATGTAACATTGCAAATAAGAAAAAGTAAAAGTATACGAGGTAAGCCATGAAATAGTGACATTTACCAAGTTACAAATGCTGCACGATTAAGTTCTCCTCCAATCCATAGTTTTGTTTGCAATAACCAAGCTTCAAATTCTTCAATAACTTCCTTGAATGGTATGGCTGTATCATGCCAGACTCTGGCAGAAAAAAACCAAACTATTTTTATGATTAATCTAAGTGGTATACCAATAACCAATCTTATTTAACTATTCTAACACATACACTAAACACATGAAATCATACCGTACTACAAACAAACTTAAATTACAAATATTACAATCAAAACATTACATGAAGGACGAAATTTGGAAAAGAGTTGAACCTGCTTGTTAGACTCTTTTCGGAAGAGTCAAAACATTACATGAATGACTTAAATTACAAATTACAAATGAAAACTGTGAAGATTGTATACATATATCATGAGTATGAGGAAGTAGGGCTCTAAACAAAACTAAGTTTCATACCTATCAACTCCAATTTTTCCATACTTCCCTTCAATGTATTCATTTATTCTTTGTTCAGTCATACTTGAAGGCCTCACAAACCTATTAGACAGATAAAGGAACAATGAAAAAAAAAAGTAAGATATACAAATAGAAATTAAAGTTGTGCAAAGTTTGATAATCCTCCGAAGTAAATTATATTTCTAAATTCAATAGAAACTAAATTAAGAAATCACAACATATTAATCTCAAATATTCTGCAAAACTCACAAGCCCACTGTTGTATTTGAGGGTTCAAAACTGAAGAGCCTACTAGTCCATTTAACTATTTCTAAAAGAATTTTTAACATCAAAATGATCCTGTGTATAATTAGAAGTTGATCTTTCTGATATTTCGCTATATTCCAAGAAAAGTAACCTCAACAATATGTTTTCCTTTAAACATTCTTTCCCTTTAAATATTATTTTTATAACTACTGAGCACAACAAAGAGTAATAGAGTTATCAAAGAAAGGATAATTAAAAAGAAAAACAGATTCATCTTAGGCAATCACAGAACACTGCTCTTACTAGACATGCTATAAAGTGGCAGAAAAAAAAAACCTGTGGAAAATGTCCTCAACTTGCAATGTTTTTGCACTAACCATTAGTACCGGAAACTCAAGAATCTCAACCTTGCCCTCCAAATCAAGTACAAGGAAAAAGTCTAGATTTTGTGAACGTATTTTGTTTAACTCAGCAATATTCACTTGAAGCTCGTTGGAGCAATCATGGTTAAACTTGTCAAGGTGAATAAGATCATCCATCTACAAATTTCGAGAAAAGAACACCATCGAAACTACTAATTAGTAAATGAGAAAAGTAATGAACACTTATAATGTTGTCAATATTTTAAATACAATAGAGACATTTCATCAAACAGGTGGCATGCAAACTAAAATTTCAAATTTAGGATGAACAAGTATAACCCAGAAATGGAAATGAAAAGCGTTAAAACAATAGATAAAACAAAAAGAAAAAGAAGGAACATTGCCTTGGTGCACTTTCCCTGTGTATGATACAAGCACATTGGTTTGAAGCGTGTGGTGTGAGAGTGAGAAGTGGAAAGTGAAGCAGAGATGGTAAAGGAGTGGTTTGGAGGAAGAGAAAGAGGTGATGAGATTGAGAAGAGAGAAACGAAAGGATTACGATTACGGTGAGACAGAATGTTGAACAAGCAAGCTCTCACAAGCGCCATCCTTGAATGGAATTTGAAACGCACAAGCTGTTTGTTTTTGTGATAAAATGGAGAAAGATAAATAATTTAAAATAAATAACTTTTTATTTTATAACATTTATTTTATTTTAATATTTTTCTTTTAAAATAAATAAATAATTTAAAATGTCATATATATATATATATATATATATATATATATATATATATATATATATATATATATATATATATATATATATATATATATATATATATATATATATATATATATATATATATATATATATATATATATATATATATATATATATATATATATATATATATATTAAAAATGGCTTATAAGTTCGTGATAAACAAGATAAACCTAATGAATTGAACCGGGTCATTCGTGAACTTAAGCAAGTCGAATTTATATTTAAAAAAAATGTTTGAGTCGAATTTTGAGTGAAACAAATTTTTATCGAGTTGAGACAAATTCGACTCAACTCGACTCATTTTCCGCCCTACTTCTACTAACCTTAAAAAAAAATTGGAGATAACATGTTTAAAGATTGAGATAGTTTAAATATAAAAGTAAATAAATTCTTAGTCAAAATCTACGAGACGATTTGACTCTAAACCCGAAGAAAGTTTAAGAGATTACGAGAGATTACGAAAGAAGACGAATAAGAGTGAATTCAATATTTCTCAAGTTTATCGAGGTCTATTAAGATCATGGCAGTGTTAAACTCATTCAAAGCTTAGTAAAACTAGATAATTTGACTTCTTATTCTTGTCTCTTACTTGTGTGCCACTAGCTAAAATTGTTATTGATATGTAACCATGTTCTAACGAGCTAAAATACATATGAGTTGAAGAAACAAAAATATTGTGGAAGAGAGAAGAACATTTCAGACAATAATGCATTACCCAATTAATTAGTTGAGTAAGGCTAAATTATGTAGGACACATCAATTTTCTCTCATTGCCACTTATAAACTCAATCACTAACATTTTGTAGTGTTTGAAGATGATGTAGTTGATGTTTACTTGATATTCATATGAAACGTTACATGATTGCACGATGTTTCAAGCTAATTAATCAAGATACCCGATTTATGAACGATGCAGTCAATGATAAACATGTTTTTCATATGAGACTAATTGGTTGTAATTTCTTGTCCTTGTACAATTATTCATAAAGCTAGAGGGTTTCATGACTCTTCTCAAAAGATAAATAATGAGAATACCATTGTTGGGACACTTGGTTAGTTTAGAGGTTTTGTTAGTGTTCATGGTGAATTCAACACCACACAGATTTGATTTCATAAAATCATCACGAGTCAAAGCATTAATCTAAAAATCTTTAACCAGTTTCACATAGATGAGCTTTCTTTTAAATTTGAAGTAGTTTTCATATCGATCATTGTTATTGAAGAGGGGCCAATGTCATACTTGTCGAGACGCGAAAAATATCCAAGCGCATCGCACGCTCGATGATACAACAAGTTGATGTTTATGTTTCGTCTCATTTTGATGTTATTAAACATATGTTGTCTAAGTCTATCTTGCATAGTCGAGTTGGTAAGTGGGCACTAGCATTGACTGAGTATTCTTTAACATATAAGCCTTTAAAGGCAGTGAAAGGACAAGTGGTAGTATACTTTATAGTCGACCACTCCATAAATGAAAGCACTTTGAAAGAGGGAACAAGCATTGGCGTGCTAATTATTTCGCTTGAAAAATTTCAATAAAATTTAAGTACAAAATCGAAGGGCTTTATTCCAAAAACGAGGCTGAATATGAGGCCTTAATAGCAGGACTTGAAATTTTGTTAGAATTGGGGGCAACTCGAGTCGAAATAATGGGAGACTCAGAGTTGGTTATAAAACAAATTACAAAGGAGTACAAATGTGTTAAGGAAAATCTTATCATGTACTTTGTAATAGCCAACAGACTACTGAAAAAATATGAAGTGGCAAGCATATGACATATACCTCGACTGAAGAATCAAGTGGCGAATGACTTAGCTCAGATTTCTTCTGGGTATAATGTTTCGAAGGAAAGCTTACAGGAGACAATCGAAGCGAGAGGTAAAGTCACGTCTGTTGGATTACGTTCATCAGATCTAGAAGTGACGAAGTTTGGATATACTGATGAAGAAAACTTCGAGATCTTTGCAGTAGATAGTCTGACAGATAAAGACTGGAGGAAGTCTTTAGTCGAATACTTACATAGCCTAACAGCTTCTACAGAGCGAAAGGTCAAGTATCAAGCTCTAAGTTACGTTCTTCTAGAAAACGAGTTATTTAAAAAGACCCTTGAGGGAGTCTTACTTAAATGCCTTAGTAAATTAGAGGCATATCTGGCCCTTTCGACGGTCCATAGTGGGGCGTGTCGGGCACATCAAGTAGGCCATAAGATGAAATGGCTATTGTTTCGACAAGGCATGTATTGGCCTACTATGTTAAAGGATTGTATTGAATTCGTTAAGGGCTGCCAGGAATGCCAAGTTCACGCTGGCATACAGCATGTCTCTGCAAGTGATTTGCATTCCATAGTCAAACCATGGCCTTTCAGAGGTTGGACTTTAGACTTAATTGGAGAGATTCGACATGCATCCTCCAAGAATCAGAAATGCATTTTGGGTAGGAATCGACTACTTTACAAAGTGGATCGAAGCGGTGCCTTTACCGAATGTGGATCAAGAGGATGTAATTGAGTTTATTCAAAAGTACGTTATTTACAGGTTTAGAATCTCAGAAACAATCACAACAGATCAAGGATCAGTCTTTACTAGTCAAAAGATACAGAAGTTTGCTAAGGAGATGGGTTTCAAACTTTTAACCTCTATGCCTTATTATGCTCAAGCTAATGGTCAGGTTGAAGCAGCTAATAAAGTGGTGATTGGTTTGATAAAAAAGCATGTGGGAAAGAAGCCTAGAAATTGGCATAAGATGTTGGACCAGATTCTCTGGGCATGTCAAACCTCTCCCAAAGAAGCCACTAACACTACTTTGTTTCGACTGACTTTTGGTCACGATGCAGTGTTACCCGTTGAGATCTACCTGCAATTGACTAGGATTAAGAGACATCATGAAATTTCTCCTGAGTCTTATTGGAATATGATGTTAGATGAGTTGGTAGATTTAGACAAAGAAAGACTCAAAGCTTTAGAGCTTTTGAAGAGACAAAAGAAGAGGGTAGAGAAGTCTTACAATAAAAATGTTAAGGTTAAAACCTTTTTTCCTGGAGACTTAGTTTGGAGGGTGATCCTGCCTATGGATCGAAAAGTTAGAGCCTTGGACAAATGGTCCCCAAAATGGGAAGGCCCATTTTAAATTACGTAAGTATTTTTTAATTGAGCCTATGAAGTCGAAGAGTTAAACAAGGATAAAAGAATCTTGAAAGTAAATGGAAAATATTTGAAAAAATATAAACCAACACTTCAAAATATAAACCAGCACTTCAAGAAATTAAAATCTCTAGGGAATAATTCAATGTATAGAGCAGAACCAAAAATGGTATTCATAAATGCCAAAATGGCTTAAAATCATTACATAATAAAGTCTGAGAGACTACGGCACATGACGGTCGAAAGTAAACATTACAAAGAAACTAACAAGCTAAAATGGGAGATTCTCTTTCATCTTTAAATATTTCTACTTCTGGAGATCAAGGCGTCTTTAGCACAAGGTTTTGTCATACCTTAAGCGTGCAACTTCTTTCTCCAATTTTCGAGCTTCCTCAGCAAATGTTATGGCATTATCAAGCTCTTTCAAGAGGCAAGAATCATCAAAGGCAGATAACTCAGCATTACGTTTTTTTCCCTTCGAGATCTTGGTTCGAAGCTTCTTGATCTTTCGCTCCTAGGAAGCAATATTTTTTTCATTAAAGGCAATCTCTTATTTGTTCTTTTCTTTGGTTTCCTCCAATTCTACTACCCTGTTCTCAGATTGAGTGGCAGAAGCCCAAACGGCAGCCTCACTACTGGTTTTGGTCGAAATGGCTTTTTTGATCTGAGGCATGCACTTGAGATCACCATAAACTTGGTCAATCATAGTGCGAAGCTCTAGAATGATGGTGGCAGACTCAGGGGAAACAACATGAATGTCTACTTGTTGGAGAAGATTATTCAAAGAGATGTGGGTAACGTGATCCATCTGCAAGATAGTGAAAAGGTCACCCTTAAAGATTTTTTCTTTGATCTTTAGGAGGATGTTGTCCTCAGGCTTGCTCGAAGGTTGGTCTTCAGAGGTTGAAGCACTAAGAGTCTTGCCAGAGGAACTTCCTTGACTTCCAAGAAGGATCTTGATGTATTGTCGAGGGTTGCTGACCTTCAAGGCGTCGAGTTCCTTTTCAGAGAGGCCTTCTCCATACAGAGTGGATGTTGCCTTGCCTTCAGTAGCAGCAGCAGTAGTTGGAGTGGCAATGACCTCGACTTGGGTTGGCTCATTGTCAAGTCCTTTCCCAGTTTTCTCCTCCTCACTTTGGCCCTCGTCCTCTTTGTCTTCATCCATTTCATCACCAGCATTTTCATTATTATGGCCATCAAGTTCAGACTGATGCATAGTCTCATCATCTTCCTACATCTCCTCACTCCCTTTTGAATCAACATTTTTGTCTCCAAGAGTATCTCCACTGGGGAGTTGTCTTCATCAGACAAAGTTGCCTTTTCCTCCATGTGGACGTCTCTGGGATCTTGTGTCTCAAGATTCTGCTGCTCATCATTTTCCTCATGGTCAGAGCCATCAGTTTGAGACTGCTGGGTAGCGGTCTTTGCAGGCGAAGGGGAAGCTGTTTCAAAGCCAGGTTTATTAATTTCACCAAGTGAACTTAATCCAGAGCCCAAACCAGACATTGGATGGTATGTGGGCTCACCTTGGCTATTTAGGATGGTGGATGGAAAAGGAGATTTTTTCGTTGTTGGCTTCGAGCCATCTACATCAGCCTGAATCGAAGGGAAAGTGAATTATCGTAAAAGGAAACAAGGTATGAGTAAATGGGCATTTCAAGAAATTGAAGTGATGAGTTAC